ATAATAAAAAATAAAGTTGGAAGGGACTTTGGAGGTCATCTAGTCCAACCCCCTGCTCAGGCAGGAAACCCTATAGCATTTCGGAGAAATGGCTGTCCAGTCTCTTCTTAAAAACTTCCAGTGTTGGAGCATTCACCGCTTCTGGAGGCAGGTTGTTCCACTGGTTAATTGTTCTAACTGTCAGGAAGTTTCTCCTTAGTTCTAGGTTGCTTCTCTCCTTGATTAGTTTCCACCCGTTGCTTCTTGTCCTGCCTTCAGTTGCTTTGGAGAATAGCTTGACTCCCTCTTCTTTGTGGCAGCCCCTGAGATATTGGAACACTGCTATCATGTCTCCCCTCGTCCTTAATAATAATAATAATAATAATAATAATAATAATAATAATAATAATAATAATAATAATAATAAAGTTGGAAGGGACCTTGGAGGTCATCGAGTCCAACCCCCTGCTCAGGCAGGAACCCTACACCATTTCAGACAAATGGCTGTCCAGTCTCTTCTTAAAAACTTCCAGTGTTGGAGCATTCAGAGCTTCTGGAGGCAGGTTGTTCCACTGGTTAATTGTTCTGTCAGGAAGTTTCTCCTTAGTTCTAGGTTGCTTCTCTCCTTGATCAGTTTCCACCCGTTGCTTCTCGTCTTGCCTTCAGGCGCCTTGAAGAATAGCTTGACTCTCTCTTCTTTGGGGCAGCCCCTGAGATATTGGAACACTGCTATCATGTCCCCCCTCGTCCTTCTCTTCGTTAAACTAGACATACCCAATTCCAGCAGCCGTTCCTTATATCTTCTTAGCCTAATCCACACTTTTTCAAACATGGAGCAATTAAGAGTGTAAAGTTGCACCCAGAGTGTAAAGTTGCCAATTTTGACAAAACAGGCCTAATCGGGCACACAGCGCGAATGCTGCATCTCAGCCCTACCTGCCCCTCGGTCCCTGCAACGTTTCCCTCCTTTGTCTGCTGGCAGAACGCCTTTGCAGTCATGGGGAAAGGCGGGAAAGCAGCACCCCAGTCCCGAAGCCAGCAGGACTTCAGGCCAGGAATAACAAAATAACAGATTTGGAAGGGACCTTGGAGGTCTTCTAATCCAAAGGTCCCCAACTTTTTGGGCACCAGGGACCGGTGCCATGGAGAAAGGGTTTTCTGCAGACCAGAGGGGTGTGTGGTTTTGAATACTGCCTGCGTCCTGAGGATGGAGCTTTGCTTGTTTGTGCAGCCTGCTTGTTGGGGACCCGTTATAGTCCAACCCCCTGCTCAGGCAGGAAGCCCTGTACCACGGGTCGGCAACCCGCAGCTCCAGAGCCGCATGTGGCTCTTTCAGCCTTCTCCTGTGGCTCCCAGCCTCCTCCGCCATTTGCAGAGAGACAGAGAGAGGCACTTGCGCTTCCCTTCTCTCCCCCCCCTCTCTCTGTGTAAAAAAAGGGTGGTCTCATGCGGTTCTCCAAGCTGACAAGCTTATTGGGCGGGGCTTCTCTTTTGCTGCGTCTCTGCAGGAAGCAGGAAGCAGCAGAAAGCTGCAAGCAGCATCTCTCTCTTTCTCTCTCTCTCTCTCTCACACACACACACACATACACACTGAGTGGGGGAAGAGGACTGGCAGACCAAGGGCAGGAGAGAGCCAGCCAATAAGAATGTGTGTCAGCTTGTCGGAGAACAGCGTGAAGCCAGCTTGCCAGGTGAGCAGAAGATCGGAGAGAGGGGGAGGGGGGAGAGGAAAGATAGGGAGAGGAAGAGAGAGACAGAGAGGGAGAAGAGGACGGAGAGAGAGGAAGAGAGGGGGAGAAAAAGAGGGAGAGAGAGGGGGAGGGGGGCCCCGGAAAACTGATGCACAGCACCTTCTATTTCTTTTTAATTAAACTCTTCAATCAAGCCTCCCCCTCCGGCTCTCTGTGAAAAACAAGGAACGGTTGCTGGAACTGGGTATGTCTAGTTTAACAAAGAGAAGGACGAGGGGGGACATGATAGCAGTGTTTCAGTAAGGAACTAAGGAGAAACTTCCTGACAGTTAGAACAATTAACCAGTGGAACAACCTGCCTCCAGAAGCGGTGAATGCTCCAACACTGGAAGTCTTTAAGAAGAGACTGGACAGCCATTTGTATAGGGTTTTCTGCCTGAGCAGGGGGTTGGAGTAGATGACCTCCAAGGTCCCTTCTAACTATTATTATTATTATTATTATTATTATTAATAACAACGGTTGGAAGGGACCTTGGAGGTCATCTAGTCCAACCTGCTAGGGGCTCAGGCAGGAAACCCTATACCATTTCAGACAAATGGCTGTCCAGTCTCTTCTTAAAGACTTCCAGTGTTGGAGCATTCACCGCTTCTGGAGGCAGGTTGTTCCACTGGTTAATTATAATAATAATGATAAAGTTGGAAGGGACCTTGGAGGTCATCTAGTCCAACCCCCTGCTCAGGCAGGAAACCCTATACCATTTCAGACAGATGGCTGTCCAGTCTCTTCTTAAAAACCTCCAGTGTTGGAGCATTCACCGCTTCTGGAGGCAGGTCGTTCCACTGGTTAATTGTTCTAACCGTCAGGAACTTTCTCCTTAGTTCTAGGTTGCTTCTCTCCTTGATTAGTTTCCACCCGTTGCTTCTTGTCCTGCCTTCAGGCGCCTTGGAGAATAGCTTGACTCCCTCTTCTTTGTGGCAGCCCCTGATATAGTGGAACAATTGTTCTGTCAGGAAGTTTCTCCTTAGTTCTAGGTTGCTTCTAGGGAAGGAGGAAGTAAGGAGAACCCCTTCTGAAGAGACTGACCCAGAGGCCTAACTCGACTGTTTTAACGGGAACTCTTAGACAGGCAACCAATGACAGGGGCCTTGCCTCCTACTCCCATGCCCATCATCCCTGCCCTCCCCCTTCCCCTCAGGTGCGCTCCTCTTTCACGCCCTTTCGAGGAATCCTGGCACTCTGCGCAGACTCGTCCAGGGACCGCGCTCTGCCAAGAGAAGGGAACGCCAGGAGTTTCCCCATTGGTCCACTGGAGGGCGAACGTCACAGCTGGCTTTCCAGAGGAGGCGAGGCGTCATAAACGCCTGCCGCTCTGGGACGCCATACTCGCTCTCCTTAACCCCTGGAGCTCCGCGGGAGGCGAAGAGGCTACGGGAGCGTCTCGCGGGTAAGAGATTCGCACGTGTCTTGGGGAGGGGGATATTCCCGTGCAAAAGGAGACGAGGAGGGGGAGACCCGTGCAGGGCCCTCCTCCGGGTGCAATCCCGGGTCCCATGTTCCCCAGATGCCCTCTCCATGCAGGGGGGGAAGCGGAGCTCCAGAGTAGCAGCTGCAGTAGAAGAACCGGGGATCCCAGGAAGGCGGCGGGGATCCGGGTGTCCCTTCCCGCCCCGTATCCAGGGAAGAAGAGCCCGAGTGGGGGAAGACGAGGGTCGGCCTGGCGGAGGCACAGCAGGAGAGGAAAGAAGCCAGGCGAGGAGGCAGGGTTGTGTGAACCTGCCTGCGTGTCAAAGGGAGACACGGATCTCCAAAGGCCACCCAGAAGAAGGGAAAGGGGGCACCCCCAGCCAGGGTCGTTTCCTGCCATTTCATTGGATGTGAACTGATGTTTCATGGTTTGTTCACCTGTTTGGGGGTCTGGCAGGTTGTGTGAACCCTGCTTGGAGGTGAATGTAGAATAGATCAACATTTTTAAAAGGGGAAACTTTCCTTGTAAGGAAAAATAGTATGGGAAGTCAGCCCCCCAGAGAAGGAAATATTAAAAGGGCAGGAAAATATATTTTCTCAAAGGATCTTAAAGAGACAGAAAAGCATGCCCAGTTTTTCTTAATAGCCCCAAGTCTGCCTCCCCCAAGCAGAAACCACCTCTATACAAATGCAGATGTAACCATCAGGAATGTTGGAGCTAGGAGATTAGGAAGACAAAGACCTAAAATCTGCGTACCCCACCTGAGACAGGACATGGTAGGATTAACTCACCAAGGCCAAAGGGCACACCCAAACTCAGGTCAGAATACATGACACAGGAAATAGCCTCAAAACAGGAACAGGAAATAACTCCAAACGAAAGGCTGGGGGGGGGGTATAAAAAAATCTACTCCCTACATGTGCTAAGTCCTTTTTTTTCCCACTTCTCTTGCTGCCAGAACCATCTTCCTGTCTGATCTCCTCTCCAATAAACTACAACCTTTTCCCCAAAGCAGTTGCCATGTTTATTCCCAGCTTGGATGAACCATGGTGAAGACCTTTCTTCCAACAATAGTGTACCACACAAATGCGCACATCTACCCACAAAAAGAGGACTTATCTGCTCAGGGACACTGGAATCCTATACCAGTTTCGGAAAAGTATTTATTTCCATGGGAATGAGTCTTGTTCAATGGTTAAAATTCTGCACTTTCTAATTCTTGGAATTTATTTTCTTTTCTATCTCAGATGACACAAAGGGGAAACCATTTGTACCTGTTTGCGTACAAAATTATTTCTTGGGGAGCGAGTTCTAAACGGTCATCTGTGGTCCTGGTGGCTACGGGATCGGTCCTATGAATGAAAAAAGCGTTTGGAAATGGTCTTTGTGAATGAAAAGGCATTTAAAGATCTACAGGATTCCTTGGACCCATTTGGAATTGTATTACAAGACGGGGACAGAATGGAGACGCAACTTTTAGCAAATGAAGCAACTGGAAAAGGCCCTCCAGTTATTCAGCCTGGCAGCTGTGGGCATAGCTGGACGAGAACTGGGCAAGATATCCTGGAGGAGGAAACCATGGTCTGCTCAAATGTTCAGCCCTGGATCTTCAAGAGAGTCCAACATCAGAAGGCTCCCCAAAGACTTTGCAGCCGACTCCACAACTTTTGTTGCCGATGGTTGAGACCAGAAAAGCATACTAAAGCCCAGATGATGGACCTAGTTGTTCTGGAGCAGTTCCTGGCCCGTCTGTCCCCAGAGATGGAGAGCTGGATGCTGGAATGTGGAGCAGAAACCAGCTCCCAAGCGGTGGCCCTGGTTGAAAGCTTGCTCCTGAGCCAGGCGGAGGAGAAGAAAGAACAGGTCGACTTGCAGGTGAGAGACCGTCATCTGGGGACTCCAGTAGGGAATAAAGAATGGGGTTGCATTCTTCATCCTTCCATTCCAGACATCTCTGGCACTCATAGTACATAGAGGTCCTTCACTAATTCTGGTAGGACATTGTTCCATTATGCGTTGTAGGAATTAAATTGGGGACAGCTGTTCCTTTGATTACCACCTCCTTGGTGATGCTGGGAACTCTGAAACTGTTCAGAGAACAAGAATCCACTTCGTGTTGTGTTATGTCTCTTGTTGGGGGGCAACAGGCTGACTTTGTAAACCGCTTAGAGAGGGCTGGTAAAGCACTGTGAAATGGTATATAAGTCTAAGCGCTATTGCTGTTAATTCCACTTCTTTTCTCCTGCCTCCTATTTCAAGTCCTTCGCTGGGGAGGTCAGGGATCCATCAAATCCCTCTCAGATGCTGCTTTTCAGGAGGATCGCTCAGGAAGATCCAAGTCAGGATACATCAGGAGGTAATTGAAGATCTTTCTATTCCACAGTGAGGTCCCAGCTGTCTCATCTTCTTTATGTATTCTATTATCCCTACTAGCTGTACCCAGCCACGCGTTGCTGTGGCTCAGTCTGGTTAAATGGAAAAGAAAGAAAAGAGAAAGCGCACGTTTCTAATATGTTTAATTTCACAATGCTTGTGGGTATACAATATTTTTTGTTGTTCCATTGTCTGTGCATCAATTCCAACGCAATGTCACACGAAATAATTAAATCAAAATGAAAATAAATCAATCTATGAAAATTCAATTTAACAATGCAATCGGAAACATTGAAATGGAATAGTAAAATTGGAAATTTGGAAATTGTAAATGGATCGTAAATCGGAAACATTGAAATGGAATGGTAAAATCGTAGCGTGTGTTGCTTTTACGTCCAACAGATGGCGCAGTTTTTCAAAAACATGTTTTTACCTGTCACAGGTGTGACATCTATATAATATAGGTATATAAAAACACGCGCGTATTCGAATGCAACATTGTGTCAAAATTTCAAATCAATCTGTGAAGAACTTTCGGAGATTTAAGATTTTGAACAAACGAACATTTACATTTTTATTTATATAGATAAATTACTTTAATTATGTATTTTAAAATTCTGTATCCCTTACAGGAAAGAGTCAAATGAAGTTGTCTGCTCTTTATGATGGAGATGAAATAGTGATAAAACTTCCAACTCAAGTAAGAGGGGAAAATTAATTTATTAGAGTTACGTTTTCCCTTTTCTTCAGGAAATGAAGCTGATGTACAAAGCATTTTCTCCTCACAGTTGTTCCTCTTGTTTGGGCTGGGTTATTTTTGTGTTCCTCAGCAAATGGAAAGGGGAATAGAAGATTCAAGTTGCTATCAGTCAGCTTAGTTTTCTTTGAAGTCATTTGGATCCCGTGGTTTGTAATTTCTACCATTACCAGGAAATATTTTTAAAGTCCTGCTCTTCACTCTTCTTCTGGTTACTCTTCCTGGAATAATAATAATAATAATAATAATAATAATAATAATAATAATAATAATAATAATAATAATAATAATAATAATAATAATAAAGTTGGAAGGGACCTTGGAGGTCATCTAGTCCAACCCCCTGCTCAGGCAGGAAACCCTATACCATTTCAGACAAATTGTCCTGAAGTGGTTTCATGTGGCTTACGAAGCCATCCTAGAAACAGGGAACAGCCCCCACTGCCTTGGCCCTGGCCCACGCCAGCCAGGAGCCAATGTACAATTTTGTGGTGGCCATCTATGCTGAAATGCATTCAGTCTTAGCTCCATAAGCCCCCCCCCCACATGGCCTGAGAGGAACAGTGAGGTTCCTCCAGTGGACCATGCCTTGGCACTTGCCCCGGTCCCACCCCCTTCTGCCAGAGACCCTCAGATCTATCCCACTCCTGCCCAGGCCCCCACAGGCACCCTTGATACGAACGATGTACAGCTGGCCACGCCCACCCAGCAGGCCACACCCACTCCATCCATGCCCACTCAGGCCACACCCACCCTGGCCACACCCACCCACCCCCCTGAGGGCAACTGCAATGCTGATGCGTCCCTCAATGAAATTGAGTTTGACACCCCTGCTCTAGAAAGAGTGCAGAGAAGAGCAACAAATATGATGTGGGGACTGGAGGCTAAAACATATAAAGAACGGTTGCTGGAATTGGGTATGTCTAGTTTAATGAAGAGAAGGACGAGGGGGACATGATAGCAGTGTTCCAATATCTCAGGGGCTGCCACAAAGAAGAGGGAGTCAAGCTATTTTCCAAAGTGCCAATTAAGTGCCAGTTAGACCAATTAACCAGTGGAACAACCTGCCTCCAGAAGCAGTGGATGCTCCAACACTGGAAGTTTTTAAGAAGAGACTGGACAGCCATTTGTCCGAAATGGTATAGTGTTTCCTGCCTGAGCAGGGGGTTGGACTAGATGACCTCCAAGGTCCCTTCCAACTTTATTATTATTATTATTATGGATCATCGCACAGTCAGCCAGATGTTCAGACTGGATTTGGCATTTTGTCTACCTATCGAGTCCTTACCAAGGACCTGGGATAGGCAGATGTGGATGTTTGATGATATTACAGATATCGTCGCAGGATGGAAGCAGTTCTTAGTAAGGCCGCCTTTTGCAATTGACTAACGGCAAATTTGTCAGTGCCAATGGTGTTCAAGTGGTGCTCCAGTTGTTTTGGGATTGCACCCAAGGCGCCTATTACTATTGGTACTACCCTTGCTTGCTTTTGATTATTATTATTATTATTAATTATTATTGTTGTTGTTGTTGTTGTTGTTGTTATTATTATTATTATTATTATTATTATTATTATTATTATTATTATTATTATTATTATTATTATTATTATCTGTAGCTCGGGTGCAGGATGAGGGCGGTGTGTTCTCCGAGCTTGTAGGTTGGTTTCCGAACGTTTCGTCACCAGGCTAGGCAGCATCTTCAGCGGAGTTTAGGGGATGTCAGTGTCAGTGTTTTGTTTATAGCGGCTTCAGGTGTAGGTGTGTCAAGTGAGGGTCTTATGATGGGATAGGTATAAGTCATCATGGAGAGGCTTGTGATGGGTCTTATGATAGGGTGGTTACGTCAGGTCAAGGTCATTGGGAGATGAACTGGTGGGAGTTGGGGGGGCATCACAAGACCCTCACTTGACACCCACACCTGAAGCCCTTAAAACAGAAGAACACTGATACTGACATCCCCTGAACTCTGCTGAAGAGGTTACCTAGTCCTAGCCTGGTAACGAAACGTTCGGAAACCAACCCACAAGCTCGGAGAACGAACCTTCACCCTCCTAGGATTGTTTCTTACGGGGACATCATAAGTCTTTTGCTGAAATGCTAGAAAGAATCCCCTCCTCTCATTTCCTTCCACAAACAGGGAAAGAATTGGGGTCAGTGATAGTTAGGGATTCTAAGGCCCATCTGCAAGTTGATTCTCTCCAGATCATGGGAGTCTTTTGATAATGGATAGATGGATGGATGGCTGGATGGATGGATGGATCAATAGATATGGAAGTGAGGTTACTTTCACTGAATGGCACTGAAAGTCTTGCAGAATCAATCAAATTGATAAAATTCTGCCCAAAATTATTTTTTTCAGTCAAAGGTTGTTGGCTCCTTCTATGTTCTCACATAAACCCTGGAATCCTATCAAGCACAGACATTTAACTTAGTACATGCCTTTGCTTTGGGAATTTGGGAACAATAGAACAGATCTTACAAATCCTTATGGGCTTGTTCTGTTCTCTTTTTCTTTGTTCAGGAGGATCTCGCGGCCTTCAAGGAGGTGGCGGTGTATTTTTCCGAGGAGGAGTGGTCTCAGCTGGATCCTGACCAAAAAGCGCTGCATTGGGAAGTCATGCTGGAAAATTATAGGAACGTGACCTCTCTGGGTAAGAGTGTGCTACTCACCAGAGAGTTTGAGAAGACATCCTTTAATTAGATGCCGTCGGCTGTTTCTTATTTAAAAAAATCCCCATCCAAGTGTCATCTCCTGAGAGGGAGAAGGATTAGGTCAATGTGTTGATGCTTTGATACATCTTTTGTTATTTCTCATCTGGCGAATTTTTCCATTTCCCTTTCAAGAGTGACAAACTAACTCCTTGGCTTGAGGAGATGCTCAGTTCCATCACACTGACTCCAGCTTTTTGGTCCCAGATGCTTTCCCATCTGTGCTAGGATTGTCACTGATACAGGCTCTCGGATTAATGACTAAATCGATTTACTGTTTTTTGAGGTTTCTAGTGGAATTGGCTTCTTCTTCTTCTTGTGCCATATCCATTATCGGACGTTGGCGATCATGTTGGCAATCCTGTTTTTATCAGCAGCCGCACGAAAAAGTGCTGCTGAGTTTTGTCCAAACCAGTCCCTTAGATTTTGAAGCCATGATGTTCTTCTTCTGTCTGGACCTCGTTTGCCTTCAATCTTTCCCTAGAGGATTAAATGGAGTATGCTGTATTTTTCTGGGTGTCACATCACATGTCCGAAATATTCTAATTTTCGTTTTTTAATTTTTTTGATGATTTCCCTTGGCTTTCCCAGGCGGCTTATCACCTCCTCATTTCTGATCTTGTCAACCCAGCTTTGTGGAACCGTCCAATAAATGCTAGGTTTTCTCCCAATATCTCCTTGAACGTTTCCCTGTTTGTTCCTTAACTGAGAGCAGATTCTGCTTGAGATTTCAATATGTTCAGATAATTCTGAACAAAAAAAGATGCTTTAGATACTAATCATGTCCATACTATGCCACTGTAAGTATGCCACTGTGCAATAAACCCTTCTTGAGGGGGGATGGGCAATCTTGAAACATGAAAAGTAAACAAATAAATAAAAAAAAAACCCCAGTGTTGTCGAGTTTGGGTAATGAAATGTCTGCAAGAAAACAACCAAGCACAGAGAGCACCAAAGGACACCTCAGTGGAACAACCAGTGGAACAACCTGCCTCCAGAAGCGGTGAATGCTCCAACACTGGAAGTTTTTAAGAAGAGACTGGACAGCTATTTGTCCAAAATGATATAGGGTTTCCTGCCTGAGCAGGGGGTTGGACTAGATGACCTCCAAGGTCCCTTCCAACATCATCATCATCATTTCAACCCTGATCTATAAATATTCTCCTTTATTGATAGAGAAATTGGTATTTGGCAAATTTTTGGAAGGAAATTCTTAATACTTTCTATAGTTTGATTATTTTTCTTGCCTAACATTGTTATGAGTTCCATTTCTCTTTTCCTTTGAAGGTAATAATGGGGAGGAGAATCAAGATAGCAGGGAACCATTCCAAGTGATCAGTCGTGGAGACAGAACAGAAAAGCCGGCAAATCAGATGGAAGAAAAAAGGCATGAGAAAAATAAGTTGAATAATTGGAATTGGGAAAGCTCATCTTCTGTTTATGCTCCAGTACACGGGTCGGCAACCCGCGGCTCTGGAGCCAGATGCGACTCTTTCAGCCTTCTACTGCGGCTTCCGGTCCTCCTCCTCCATTTGCAGTCCCACAAAAAAAAAAAAAAAGTGGGACTAAAAAAGTTAAATCGATCAATTCCAACTTCTCACACACAAAAAAAAGATCTCGCAAATTTGGAATTGATTGATTGAACTTCTTTTGTTTATGGGACTGTCCACAAACTTCTTTTTTTCTTGGGACTGCAAGTGGCGGCGGCCGAGGAAGAGACGGAGGCCTGCTGGAAAGAAGATGCGTGGGTCAGATGGGGCGTGCGGGGAACGGGGGGTTTCTGCCAACAAATGGAGCTGGGGAAACGGGCTGGGTGGGGGGAGCTGCCAATGCCACTGCCATGATCCCCCCTCCCCAGCCACCCAGCCACCATTGCTGATATTCTCACCTGGCCTCACGCTCTTCTTCTTCTCGTCTTCCACACTCAAATTGGCTGCTAGCGGCTTGGATGGCTCTGCTCCGTCCGAGTTGAAGAAAACTGCTTTCTGCTGGCCTCCGTTTTCTTCAACTTGGACGGAGCAGAGCCCCCCAAGCCGCTAGCAGCTGATTTGAGTGCAGCGGAGAAGAGCGTTTCCTCAGGAACCGCCCAAAGCTCCGCAGCTGGAAGAGCTTCTGCCGAGGCTGCTTTAGGAAGGTGTCTCCAGCCTCGAAGCCGCTTAGCACCTTAGCACTGAAGGAAAGGGCAGCTCTTTATAGCCGCCGCGTGCTCTCGCCCCAGGGAGCGCCTTTTATGCACGAGGCGCCTGCCTCATTCACGCTGAGGAAGGTGGCCAGAAGCGGTGGCGCGAGGTGCCTTCCCACTCGATAAGGCTGAGGCAAGGTAAAGG